ACACAGTAACACACACACACAGGCCAGATGATGTCACACAGAGATCTTCTGATTGGTCAAAGTGAAACAAACGGTCCAACATGAAAAGCTACCAGTCTGTGTGCTAAGCTAAGCTAACAGTTTAAGTGTGGAGATAAAACAGTGTTGCATTCACTGACAATCACCGCTGCGGGAAAATCCAAAACTGTAACTTTTAATCTGAACACAAACAGCTGATTCTGGTGTCAACAAACAAACAAACAAACAAAACAAACAACCACAAACAGTGGATGTTTGTCCTGCAGTAAACAGCTCACGTCTCCTCTTCTGGTTGCCGTCTCCAGCTCAGCGTGTTGGATCGTCTCCTTCGAGGTCATCGTCTGTCGTGGGAAATAAGAGGGCTCTGTGTGTGTGTGTGTGTGTGTGTGTGTGTGGTTGCCAGCAGCAGGGAGGGAGCGCTCTGATTGGCTGAGAGGGAAACAATGTGGTTAATGCCGACTGTTTCTCCTCTGAGTCACCAGGAAATACAAGTCCAGTAGAAACAGTCTCTAATGATTAAATATCTTTATTTAACTCATAAACACAAACTGTTGACTGTTAGCTTCCACTCACCAAACCTCTATTCAAGTTTCAGTGTATTTAAGATTGACTCAGATAAACGTCGACAGGCTGTTGTTATCAGGCTGATTTATGTTTTAATGTCTTTATATGTTTCAGTAGTTTGTTTTTTGTAACTTTTGGTGATCGAACTGTCGTCAGATGTGTTGTTTGTTCAGTGTTAAACTACCAGTGTTTAAGTCTCAGCGTCTGCAGTGTGACAACTTAATGTTGGTGTTTTCCAGAGGGAGTTCTGAATGAGTGTAGAAGCTGTACGACACTGAACAACAGTACAGCTGCACCAAGTGTTGCTTCCTGCTCCGAACTTCCTGTAGTTCTGTTTCAGCTAGGTGGCTGAAAACATTGTCGCCGTTTTCACGGTTCCCACGGCGATGGTAACAGTGGCGTTTTCCAAAGATTTCACTCAAAGTATAAAAGCTGCAGTTTACAGGTTAAACACATTAAATACAGTTTATGAACTCTGGCTTTAGTTTATTAGTGATACTTTCAAACCTTGAGACCTTAAACACAAACAAATAAACAAATGAATGAATGAAAACTGATGAATGAATATTTATGTTTTTTCCTGAATATTAAAAGATAAATTAAAACTTAAAACAGAATGAAACAAAACAACAATAAACAGATTGTATTAATAAAGTTACCAGATAAAGTTTCCATTGTTCAGTTTTGGCAGTTTGGTGAAATTCATTAAAATGATTTAAATTAAGTTTCTTAACTTCATTGTCATTAAGACACAGGCGGACAAAATGATGAAAATAAAGTTTCATTTATTGAATCAGCACACTGAATATATTTATAATAATAATAATAATGATAATGTTTATCTCTAACGTTGTTGTTGTTGTGCATTCATGGTGAGCTGACTCTCTCTCTCAGTGTGAGTGAGTGTCTCTCGCCCTCTGTGCTGTAATACCTCAGGGAGCTCCAGCAGAGGCCTCCACCTCCCCACTGCTGCTCCTCTGGGACTCCACACCTCCTCCTCTTCTTCCTCCTCTTCCTCTTCCTCTCTGTTGTCTCTTCTATCAGCTGATCACCCTCAGTTCATTCACACTCTGAGACTGTCATTACTTTCTCTTCCTTTATTTTCCTCCCTTCCTCCCGTTCCTCTCTCTCTCCTCTTCCTTTATCATTCCCTGTTTTATTTTATTTTCCTCTTTTTTCTTGTTTCCTTCCTTTTGCCTCCTTTATTTCCTCCTTTCCTCTTTTACTTCCCCTTCTTCCCCTTTTTCCTCCTCTTCCTCTGACCCCCACTCCATCCTGTGTGTGTTTGTATTAATTTTATTTATTAGTGTTGTTATTGTTATTAACAGCCGTCGCTGTGGCGACCTGCTGTGCTGCGGGCACTCAGATCGGACGCTTCCTCCTGTTGGCTGATGGGAAAACAGCCCTGGGGCGAGAGAGAGTGTGTGTGTGTGTGGTCTGCAGTGATGAAGGCTTCCTGCTGACTCTTCTTCTTCGTCTGGGTTCAAACATTCGTCCCTTCATCTCTCTGCCGGCAACCATTTTGGCTCTGAGTGTGATTCAGAATGAAATCTGATTGGTCGAAGGTGTGAGACACCGTTAGGTTTGACAGACAGTGTGTAACTGGCGGTGTGTGCTTTCAGATACACTTTCTCTGATTGGTGGGCGTGTCTGAGGTGTTGCCCAATCAGCAGTGACGTGTATGTAAACACGTGTTCATGAGATTGTCCACGTCATTGTTTGGAGTCATATTGAAGAAACATTCACTGCTTTCAGTTTCTATAAAGTGAATGTTTGTGGTTGTGTCCCCGTACGAAGGCTGAGTCCTTCCTGCAGCGG